CAATGAAAATTCGAGGATGAATTTTCTTTAGGGGGAAGATTTGTAACATCCTCAATATCAGGTTAGTGACTAAATTGTAAAAAATTCATAATTTGATGACTAAAACAGAATAATTGAATAGTATTGTAATTTGGTATAAGGTTAAATTGCAAAGAAGAAAGAATAAAAGGATAAAATGGTCTTTTGCAAGGAAAAAAAATTAAAGAAGGGATTTATATATTAGCTCTACATGGAAGAGAAGAAAGAAAAACAAGGTTCCAGAGTTCTCTTCTTCTCTTCTTTTCTCCTAAAAGTGAAGAGGTCATAACAAAGGTGAGATTTTTCATGAGTTAATTGTTTGCTGAAATATAAGTTTTGTTTTGATCCTTAGATGTTAATTAAGCTTAAGGAAAGCTTAATTTGCTTTAAAACAACAAGATGAATGGTGTAGGAAGAATTAAAGATTAGGAGTTCTTGAATGGAATTTTGAAATAGAGTTCATATTTGAAATCGGAGGTTGAATTTGACTTGTCATCGACTTAATTAAGACATACGAAGTGTTAAAATTAGATTTAGAACATGTTATAAATTGAGGGAGACTCTTAAAATCTATGTGGAGGATTGGAATTTTAAGTTTAAGAGGTATTGAATGGGTATTAATTAGTTTAAGTATGTATATGCAAGTTAAGGATATAAAAAGAGGGGAAATATGAAGTGATGAGAAGATTATAAAGAGATTTTCGCGCTAAAATAACATTTCTGGGTTATGTGCATCGATGCACATTCAATGTGTATCGATGCATCAAGGGTAAAAACCCAGAAATTATTCAATGTGCATCGATGCACATGAGTGTATCGATGCACTCCTTTAAAATAAAAACATCGAATGTCATCAGTGTATCGATGCACAAGTGGTGCATCGATGCACCCCCTAAAATACAAACATCGAATGGGATTTATGTACCGATGCATAGTTAGTGCATCGATGCACCCGTTAAGGGATACATCGATACATGGTATAGTGCATCGATGCATACCTTCATTAAAAGATAAAAATAGCTTTCTTTTTAGCCTAAGGAGTGATAGTTTAGAATATATTAATTAGTATACTGATTAGTACCAATGTATTACCATGTAGATATAGAACGTAATTTCGTTCAGAACAAAAGGAATATGATCAAGTCAAAACAAGCAAGGCCAAGGTGAGTGCATATCCTAGATGAAATGGAATTGAGATAAGACTTGCGATAAGTCTATCTCTTATCATTGAATTTATGATTCTATATTCATGCAAATGCATACATATATAAATGTTAACGTTATAGTGATTCCATGCATTTTTCATTCATGATTAACATGATATTATATGAATGAATGCCATTATCAGAGAATTCTTTCAGGTATGTGAAATAATGAAAATGATCATATGAAGTGACTTATGTGTTTACATGGACAATGATGAAAGAGATATGAAATGAGAAATGTATTTATAATTACCATGTTATTTAATATGAGAGCTATAGGTATAATTGGCATGCCAAGAGTCGAAGGATTATCAGTGGTCATTTGAGACAATCAGTGGTCTTTTGGGACAAATTTTCAGTGCCCCTTGAGGGAATTATACGAGCTGTGGTGACAGCATAGTGCACAACCTCTATGTACTCACATACCTTTGTTCTCCATATTGTACATGGGCAATTCAAAGATAAGTTAAAGTAGAATTAGCATGAGAATATATGTTTTATATGTGCATGTTACCGTCATATATGTTATAGTGAAATGGATGCATACAAATAAAGATGTCATGATCAGATGGTAAGAATGCATGTTCATGAATGCATTGTTATATATATATATATATATATATTTATATTATGCCTCACTAAGTCTATGACTTAGCGTGTAAGTGATTTACACGTAGGTACCAAGAATCGAGAAGAACAGAAATAGGAGTGGCAAGAACAACAACACTGCTAGAAGATCAGATCAGAAGTAACTGATAAAGTAGATATTTTGTTGTGTATAGTATGTTGGCATGTAAGAAAAGTGTTAGTTACAAATGCTCTGATAAGTTTTATCTTGTTTTGGTTAACTTGTGTAAAGTAACAATGTTATTTTAATGAAAGTTTTAAATTTCCTTGATTTTCGTCAAGAGTCAAAGTTTGAAAAAGTCAATGTGACACCTCAGACTCGTATCCGGGTCGGGTATGAGTTGAGGGTGTTACATAGGAAGTCGTTTAAAATGAAACCAATCAATATCATAATATTACAAATATTTATAATTAAATTAAATAATAATTGAAATAACTTAATCCAACTTACCCAAAAAATCAAATAAAATTTTAAATTGTAAAATAAGGCTCATTAATTCACTAACTCAAAATATTTTAAGATAAATTACGTATTTAGTATTTAAATTATTATTTTTTATCCGTTTTAATACCTAACCTTTTAATTTTTTTCAAAATCATACCTAAAGTTTAGTTTTTGTTTTATTTTAACAATATGTTCAAAATTTAAAGTTAAGTTTTAAAAAAAAATTAAAAATCTAGGTACTAAAACTAGTTTAGATACTAAACATGTGAAGTTTAAAACGAAACACAAACTAAATAATAAATATAATTTTAAAAAATTAAAAATTTAAATACTAAAATAAATCAAAATTGATATTTAAATTTACTCAATATTTTAATCCGCTCGATCAAATACTTTACATATACATTTAAAATCCCGACTCTGTCCTACCTAACTGATATATCTCACCAGATTTCAACAGTGTCTAAACTGTAATCCCCCACCTAAACCCTCAAACCATGCATGGATTCCACGCGTCTCCCTTCACCCTCCCCTCTCCTCTACATATATACTCCCTCCTTTCCAACTCTAAACCAAACCACTGCCAAAAATGGGTAAGGATTGAGCATTTTGCTGCTAGCCCTTGTTCTCTGCCATGCGTTGACAGTGACAACTGGTTACAAAGGCGAGAAACAATGGCGGAAAGAGAGAGAGAGAGAGGGAGGAAAGTGAAGAAGAAGAAGATGGTCGACGCACCGATGACATGTTTTTAATGCGAAGATCAACACGCGTGATTCGAACCGATGCCAGAGAAATTAGGGTGGTGAGAAGTCCCTGAGGGAGGATTGTCGAGAAACCACTGCACATTGGGTTCATTACCATGGAGCCTCAGTCCCTTTTGATTCCCTAATATCTTGATTCCAGTTTGATTCTCTTCGTCCGTACAAGTATATGTATATACCCTTTTCTTGTTTTCTTGATTGCGGCTTGATCACGGATAACATAGTACTAATTACGATTGCGGTCACTATTGTGGCTGTTTGACTGCGTTGTGGACACAATTTAACACAATGGGTATTGGAAAATAGTACTAAATTGTGGTTGTGGTTGTGGTTGCCGTTTTGGCTGCGATTGCGTATGTTGCGAACTTCGACGTGCCTTATTTCCTAAAATAACCATGTTTTTATGTTGCATGTTGTTTGTGGTGTCGCCTGTTACTATGCGATAGCTACAGTACACTGCTTTGGGGCCGTAATTTAATACTATGTATTGGAATGAATGCAGGAGAAGCCAGGGTTGGATGCATTTACAAAGACGAGATGGTCGAGAGGCTACTGAAGATCGGAGATGTGTTTCCCATCCCTCGGTTCAGCGTTCTACATTTTGAACCCTGGTGAGGATCAAAGGCTTCACATCATCTGCAGCATCGATCCATCCGAGAGTTTGAATTTGGATACTTTCCAGGTAAGATTCTCTTGGTTTCATCAAAGTGATCATCATCAAAATTGTTGAATTTCTTGATTGCATGCAGTCTTTCTTCATCGGCGGTGGAGTCTGTCCTTGCTGGTTTTAGCCCCGAAACTCTTTCTTCAGCCTTCAATGTAAGCAAAGACGCATGTTATCTATATAACCAGCACGCGAAAGGTCTTTGTTTTCTCATAATAACGCACGTAATTGCAGGTCTCGGTGTCGAGATTGACGGGATTTTTGAGCAGGCAAAAAGACGGGCCAATTGTGCATGTTGCGCCGTCACATGCACCGAGCATTTGGACCAAGTTGTCTCAACTTAAAGAGGAAGATAGACTGAAGCAAGTGAAGAGAATGGTCCTAGGAGAAGTTGAGCAAGTGAAAGAATGGTCATGGTGGAATCTCTTTGGCATGTTCTCTGGGAATGATGGAAATTTGTTGAAGGATAAAGCACCAGATTCATACAACATAAACAAGAGAATCCCCGATTTCCAGAACGACTACCGATGGAGCATCACGGTCGACGGATCCGATTATAAGCCTCTCAAAGACCATGGCATTGGCATTTACCCTGTCAATCTCACAGCGGAAGTGTCTACCTTGAAATTCGAATTTATCTGTTTATTGTTATTCATTTTACTAGTTGTGTCCATCCTTGGCGTCCGTCTCTGATCGTTTATAAGTCTTTCTACGATTTCGGGGATCAATGATGGCACCACATGTGAATCCAAGGGCAACAGAGTATGGCGTTGTGTAAAGGGGAAGTGGTAGGATCCAGATTGTGTTACCAAATGGGACTTTAGCCATGGATACCAAGGTAAGAGAAGGGGATGTGTTTTGGGTACCAAGGTGCTTTGCTTTCTGTCAACTAGCATCACGATCAAGCCCGTTTGAGTTCTTCGGGTTCACGACATCGTCGCACTAGAACAGGCCTCGGTTCCTTGTGGGTGCAAACTCCCTTCTGCACACTTTCAACGCGCCGGAGCTTGCGGCTGCGTTCGGTGTAAAATAAATATTTATTTTAAATTTTTTTAATGACTAAAATCATTATTTGAATATGAATTATATTTTACGTCACTTGAGAATTTATGGAGATGATACCTTTGTTGAAAAAATGCCTTAGTGCTTGCTACCCAAGGCATTATCATCACATCCGACGTGGCAAAAATAATCAGGAACCGTTGGATCAAGGACCACTGAAATCCAAGGGCTAGAAGAGAAACCCTAAACTGGCAACGAACCCTTGGTTTCATGTTATAAAACTCCAGTACCCCTGTAATCTCCCATTCTTCATTCCCCATCTCATTTCAGATCCAAGGCGGCTCTTCGAAAAGGTCTGATTTCTTCGTCATCAAAGCATCGGTAAATTGTTTTATCACTGTTCTTCTTTTTGTTTGTTAATCTTTGTTTCTTTTAATTTTCATTTTCTGGAAAAGAACTGTTTAGATCTGGTTCTTTCTGGAACCCAATATCATGATTAAATCATTTGATCTGTATATATTGATCTTGCATGATTTTATTTAGGGTTAGTTTTCTTTTTTGTGTTATGATTTTGTTATCTTTGTTAAAAAGAATTGGATTGCATTTGAATTTGGTGATGCCTTGTAATTATGCTTTATTGTTTTTGCCAGGACTTGTTTTCCATTAATTCAGAATGGGCAAGGAAAAGACTCACATCAACATTGTTGTCATCGGCCATGTCGATTCCGGCAAATCGACCACCACCGGGCACTTGATCTACAAGCTCGGTGGTATCGACAAGAGAGTGATCGAGAGGTTCGAGAAAGAAGCCGCCGAGATGAACAAGAGGTCATTTAAATATGCCTGGGTGCTTGACAAGCTCAAGGCCGAGCGTGAGCGTGGTATCACCATTGATATTGCCTTGTGGAAGTTTGAGACCACCAAATACTACTGTACCGTTATTGATGCACCAGGACATCGTGACTTTATCAAGAACATGATCACTGGTACCTCACAGGCTGACTGTGCTGTTTTGATTATTGATTCCACCACCGGTGGTTTCGAAGCTGGCATTTCGAAGGATGGACAGACTCGTGAGCACGCTTTGCTTGCTTTTACCCTTGGTGTCAAGCAAATGATTTGCTGCTGCAACAAGGTGAAAATCTTATTGATCAATTGTTTACATTTGTGTGTTGTTGGATGACTTTGCTCTGCTAATTGTCTGTTTGGTTTTTGGTGTAGATGGATGCTACTACCCCAAAATACTCTAAGGCTAGATACGATGAAATCGTGAAGGAAGTCTCTTCGTACTTGAAGAAGGTCGGATACAACCCAGAGAAGATTCCATTTGTTCCAATTTCTGGTTTTGAGGGTGATAACATGATTGAGAGGTCTACCAACTTGGACTGGTACAAGGGCCATACTCTTCTCGAGGCTCTCGACAATATCATTGAGCCCAAGAGGCCCTCAGACAAGCCTCTCCGTCTGCCACTCCAGGATGTTTACAAGATTGGTGGTATTGGAACTGTCCCGGTTGGTCGAGTTGAAACTGGTGTCTTGAAGCCCGGTATGGTTGTCACCTTTGGTCCTACTGGTCTGACCACTGAAGTTAAGTCTGTTGAAATGCACCACGAAGCTCTTACGGAGGCTCTTCCCGGTGATAACGTTGGGTTCAATGTTAAGAACGTTGCTGTGAAGGATATCAAGCGTGGTTATGTTGCATCGAATTCCAAGGATGATCCAGCTAAGGAGGCTGCCAACTTCACTTCTCAGGTCATCATCATGAACCACCCTGGCCAAATCGGAAACGGATATGCCCCTGTCCTCGACTGCCACACCTCCCATATCGCCGTCAAGTTCTCCGAGTTATTGACCAAGATCGACAGGCGATCAGGTAAGGAGCTCGAGAAGGAACCCAAGTTCCTGAAGAACGGAGATGCCGGTATGATAAAGATGGTTCCCACAAAGCCAATGGTTGTCGAGACCTTCTCCGCATACCCACCTCTTGGACGATTTGCCGTGAGGGACATGCGGCAGACCGTTGCTGTCGGTGTTATCAAGAGTGTCGAGAAGAAGGACCCGACTGGTGCCAAGGTCACCAAGTCTGCAGCCAAGAAGGGTGGAAAGTGAACCGTGCTGGCTAAACCTATTACAGATTCCGCAGGTTATGATTATATGAATAATAGTTTGATAGACTTGATCATATATGGTATAGTTGGTATTTTGGTTGGTTTTGCAAGTTATAGCGTGTTGCCATTTTTGTCGGGTATCTGTTCTCAGTATTGGGTGCTTGATAGACGGTGGCATGCTATAGCAGGCTTGTCCCTAGCGTTGTCTGGTTTTTAGTTTATAGTTTTGCATTGTAAGAGGTGCCTTGGTTTCCAAGGTAGCTTCCAACTTTTGTTTATGATATTTGTTTGTGCTGCGGAATCATATGATATATTTTTGTTTTCTTAAACATCCATTGTTTTTTTTATTTGTTTTTTTTTATTTTTTGCCTATGCAACGTGACAAATTCATTAATCGATCGAGTGATCAAATATATTCGTATTATTTCATATTTCGAGTGGCCATCCATATTATGTCATCAATTTTGTTTTAATTTTATCACATTAGCCGATCGATATCCTATTATTATATATATATATATATATATTACTTTAATCATATATTTTTAAAAGATGTCTTATCATGAGTGGATTTTGTAAAAGTATTATGCATAATCATTCGAACGAATTGGATTAATTATATTTTCATATAAATTATTAAAAAGGATTTAATTTTAAATTTTGATTCGAGTTTATTAATTCTATTTTAAGGTAACATATAATCTATTTGGATATCGATTTCGAGCGTTGTAATGTTGTAATGTTAATCATCATGTTTCATACATAATCAATTTACGAATCATTCTAAAAGAATGGTAAAACGTAGACACACTTTTTTTTTAAATATATATATTTTATATATATATTTTTTGAAAATATTATTGTTAGGTGTTAAACTTTACTTAACTTAAAAGGTTGATGAGGATTTCAATCGTTCTTTTAAGTCGAGATTCTTTTTAGGTTTAAGGATCGTTCCGACAACTTGAAAATTCCATTAAAAAATATTAAAAAGTCGAGCTTTGATTGGTTATTTGTTATTTTTGTATATGAAAATTGTAAGTTCCAGCCCTTATTTAGCTTATGATTCTCTCAATTTTCTTTTTAATTATTTATTATTTTCTATACAAATAGCTGTACTAACGTTTTGAGCTCGTGCTTTCAAATTTGTATTTCCTTCAAAGAGTGTTTTTATATTGTGTGTTGGTGTCCAAAGTTTGTGAATTTCTCCTCGTATACATCACGTGCACTCGTATAATATGAACTTTCTACTTGAGGTCTGTCTCTATTAAGCGGGGTTAAACATTATGTTTTTGTGAGAATTTATTTCTGCATGCACTCGTATAATATGAACTTTCTACTTGAGGTCTGTCTCTATTAAGCGGGGTTAAACATTATGTTTTTGTGAGAATTTATTCTCTGCATGAAAACTAGCAAGTAAACTTTGAAATACATATTCTTTTGAAACCCGTAAGAATTTATTTTTCGTATTAACAAAAGAAATATATTTTTTTGAGTTAAACTCGATCTATATGAACTTATAATGAGCGAGGATTGAGAACGTTGCTAGCCTTAGTGGATACCTTCTTTTAAAATAAAACCCTCATACAGGGAGCTATAAAAGTCCATCCGATTTAGAGCCATGTCGAAACTTTATCCATTAGTGGATATCCAAAAAAATGTACAAAGGAGAGAGACAATTACCTTTATTTTAAATGTACTTTTGTTCTTGCTCGAACCAAAGCATGTTAGCTAAAAAAAGTATACAATTATGTTTTAAAAGGTATTAATCAAAGAGTGATTATCTTGATGGAAGGTCATTGTTATGAAAAAAGTAGAGGAATTCATGATCTTTTAAGGTATAATGTCAAAAAAGTCTCCGTATATTTGATTAAGTAATCACTTTGATCCATATTCTTTAAAAACGAAACGATAAAGATCAAAATGTTTCGGGAAAAAAACAATGTAACCATTTTATAAAGATTAGGAGTGAATTTTAACATTACACTTCCTTTAAATGGTAATCCAACAATGACATCACAACTTTGGCTATCAAATTATTTGATTAATCCATACTCGGAAAGAACGAAGCATCCAGCACCAGGAATTCACACATTTTTTCATTACATTAGAAGTTCGAGTGAAACACAAGTTTCTGTTCCAAATCACTCACTCTAGATGTAAAAGCATATATGACAAGTCTTTGACCCAGATGATAGCAAACGTACTAAACACTCGATACTCACCCACACGTTCATCGACTCATAAAAGACAACGCCAACCGACGACCGATACACAGATCATACCTGGTAGATGTCTCAACTAGAGTTATGAAGCTCATCTGCAGAGAGAACTGGTCGATCACACATATATGATTGACCGACAGCGTCCAACTCTTAACAGCATTTGTCCGACCAACTCCTCAATATGTAGCCCCAATACACGATCTTTAAACAACATGCTCTATCGTTATCCCAGGTAACCACTGAAGGCATTTACTCCTTGCAAGTTTTGCAATCTTAAAGACGGTATCCTCGATCTTCCACAACAGATCTGGAAACTGCAAAATTAACTGTATGAGACACCAAGTGCATATGCACGAAAAGCTGAACACATGAAAAGAAATAGACAGAGTAATCCGGAGTAGATCTAAAAAATCATTTAGTCTATAGGAATAAACACACAAAAGAGAGAATAGGAATCAACCAAAGGAAAATAATTGAGCGCATACTCACTTGTTTAGCAGCAAGAGTCGGCTAGAAGCGAAAGTCATCCATGTTTCCAACAAAAACTCAGCACTGATAATGCTTTAAAGTTGGTGTTGATTTGGCTGTGCAAATGGATGCAGTACATTCATGGGAATCATTCCCAAGAACCTCAAGAACACAAAACAAATGTATATGAAGAAATCAGATCAAAGAACTATAGCAATAATTGTAATCAATCACAAAATCAAGAAGTGGAAAATGAGCGAAAAAGAGAAGTTACCAGCTTGATCTCACACAAATTAATGACTTGTCCAGATTGATTGTCCTTTATACAGCTCAGGCAGTGACGTAAACTGCTGGTTTCCATTAAAGATTTGTTGTTGCTGCAACTTCTGTTCATGTTGATTTTTCAGATGCTCAAGAGAATTGAAGTCCGACCATCCCTTCAGCTTTTCCGTTTGAAACTGCACCATTGGTACCTGTTTCCCAGGGAAAGGAAAGCTTACTGTTCCAGTCAGACCATTGCTGCTATTATTGACATACAGGGTATCCGCATGAGATGCATAATTGAGGAAACCATCAATCCCAGAGCCTTTCAACGGTGATAACTGATATCCATCCAACCATCTATAATCATCCATCAGCAGGTTCTCCATATCTGAAACGGTAACAGATTCACTTGGTGGCTTTAACGGAACAGGGCTAAAACCTGGTGGGGAGCCAAGATGCCTAACTGGGCGGCTAATTGGTCTCCTCCACATGCCAACTTGTGAAGCCGAGGTAGTTTTAGCAGCCAATGTATCACTAGTTACTCTAGAAGACACCATAGCATCAATTCTGGATGGCATCACAGTTTCTGGCACTTCTGTCTGACTGTAAAACATACCACCAGCAGTGATGGGTTGTTGGATAGCAATTGAACGAGTAGCAGAATGAGAAAGACCTCCATTTTCTTGAATATCCCGTTTTTTCAAATGCCCATTCTCCAACATTTTCAAACCATTCAAGCTATTAACCAGAGACATAGCTTCTTCCACTGACCACCTAGATGCATGCATCTGAACAGGCTGCAGATAATGTGGGAGAATGCTTCCAGCAGATACAGGAATTGGACTGGCACCAAAGGTATTATGCTGGTGAAGACTATCAAGAGGAGCAGACATGGTACTGTTATACTACAATTTGAGATCGCCAGCAATGCTACTTTGACTAAGTTTCAAAGACTCAGATGTGGGGCGGTTTGAACCAATCATCTCAGTTCTCTTTTCATTCACAGCCGGCTGGAAAACAATCACTTCATCATCATCATCCTCTTCCCCAGCCATTTTAGGTTTAGTAATAGGCTGCAAATTTCCAACATTAATTGTCTTCTCAGAAGGGGTTTCCTGCTCTACACCATTTGTTGCCGGTGGGGCAGAAGATCTGAAGGTGACATCTATGGAAGGCACAACACCAATAAGAAACTTATTTGCTTTCGAATCAAAGTAAACAGTTTTCTGATCAACCCTAATGGCACTAGTCAGAGTATTCCCAGCTGCTAAAATTCTTTTTACACGAGCTTTCTTTTCCTTATTGCTATTGCTTACAAAGAAATGCTTTCCTGAGAAGTCCAAAATGTTGTGGGTGGGAACTAGAGGCAAGAACCCTCGCAACTCAATGTCCTCCCACAAAGCAAGATGTTTTTCAGTTTCTCCTTCATACCTGCTCATATCGAAAACGCATGTCTCATCTTCATAATCATCAACACACATTGGCCTAATTGACAAGATCTTATTCAGTAATGATAAGCAATGTTTCCAGAAATATGATCTTGTAATTGAGTGTTTCTCATCCACATCGCAGCCAACAGCTGCAACATCCGGGCAGCAAGCTAGCCATTGAACAAAAACCATAATAGCAGGTAAGGTGTAGCTTGAAGAAACATCCTGGAGCTGAGAACATCTCTTTATTACATGCCCCATCAACTCGAAAACAGCAGTGAATGCATTTTGAAGTAGGGCAGCACGCTGTACAATTTCAGCAAATGTTTGACCTTCACTTTCCCTCTTAAGATTGTGAACTGTATATATAAGAATGGAAACCAGCCTAATAAAGAGAAGTGAATTCTCGGCAGCATCGGTGCCAAAATTCAGTTCCTCTTCAGGCCCAGAAGAGAGAAGTTCACGTAAATCATGACTGACTAGAGCAAGGACATCTGCAAAAGTCTCCAGGCTGCAAAAAGGAAGTTCGAATAAGGACGCAACCCTAGAAAACTTGGCCAGTAACAGAAGTGATTAAGTTCGAGAAAGTATACCTTGTGCGTGTAAAGAGAATACCGATTAAACGAACAAATCGAATGCAAAATAACTTATAAGTATCCAGGACACCAGATACTTTCTCCTTGGCAGTGCTTGATTCCATTTTGGCAGCTTTAGATTCAAGTTTTGCTTCATCTTTCTTCCTACCTTTTCCTGATAATCGCGAACCGTGCACCTTGACCAAGGAAGTCTTTACATCCCCATGAGGTTGCAAAAAATTATGGCGATTCTGTAAACCAAAATGTATACATTCAGTACAATTTCCATAGTCGTATACATGTTCCAATACTAGCATACAAATGATAAATCCACCCAAAATCAATTCTCAAGTCCATGTTCCAATACTAGCATACAAATGATAAAT